CAGGTCGGCACAGTGCCATTATAAAGTTCTCCCTCTTGGATGGTACGGCCATCAGCAAGCACAATTATCCAAATGCACCTGACCTTTGTATATATAGGTGGCTTCCCCACCCCCCTCAAGCCTGGGCATGACTCCAAGAGGTTGGCTGAATCCTTCATAACAAGCATTAATCACCACTTGGCACACAACCACTCAGACCACATTAGAAAATTCTGCTGTGGCAATTTGCACCTGTAATGAATGATATGCATGTTCCGTTTTCAATGCTCACAACCCAAGTTAGGTGGAAAAGGAGGCTGGATGGCCACCCACAGAGCAGTCGCATGATCTGATCCAGTATTTCCAGTCAGCAAAGGAAAGAGAATGGAAAAATATAAGCTTAGTAGGAGGCAACTGACAGAGAATGCAGATTTGAATGGAGGTAAGCACTGGACATCAAGAGCAATGGAACAGACTGGGTAGGAAAACAGAGGGAAGTTAAAGCAAACAGAAGAAGAAAACAGGAACAAAAGCAGGGAATGAAGTAGTATGAAGAAACGGCCAGGTTCTGACCAGGTACACCATTTACTTATTTACTGCATCTAGATCCCAATTTGCTGTCTTAACAAGACCAGTTATGATGATTAACTAAATTGGTTTATGCTTTTTTCCCCCTGATTAGATATGAACAATTCACATGCTGTCAATTACATTGTGGCTTCTTAACTCTCCTGTTATTTTTCCATCTGGTCCTTGTACATAAAGCATCTGGAAATGGAGACACGCTCATAAAGCATCTGAGGGAGAAGACGACAGCCCACAAAAGCCTATGCCCGAACAAACTTAGTGTTTATGGTGTTAGGTGTTTTGCACCAGCACAATACTCCTGAATCCTGTTCGCAGAAAACTGATATTGCCAGGGTGGTAATTCTCTTTTAACTTATTTCTACCCCCGATTCACTCCTTTGAACATACAAACAAGAAACCAAAGCAGGAGCTAGGATATCTGAATTGTGTAAACAAGTCCTTAATTGGAAAACTAAAGGCCAAACTGCACTTTAGATGCAAATGTGGATAATAAACCCACACAACTGTTGCTTCTAGGCAAAGCAGCTTCAGAAGGGGTAATTTGCTGCAGAAAATTTAGAAGTGCTTGATCAATCCTTTACCTGCTGCGCTTCTGCTGCAAATACACACCATCTTTCATTTGCCCACCACCACAAACACAGGTGTCTGAATGCAGTCCTCTAACTATGGTTAGTTAGGATCTGTCCAGCATCTGAAGTTGGTCTATCAGCTATGGCTTGCATGGTGTACATTCACAGGCATCCTCGCTTAATTTTGGCTTGCTCCCCAGTGATGTCCTCCCAGGATACAGAAAGAAGGCAACAAAAACATCCCAGTTTCATAAACTGTTGTTGTTGTTGTTCAGTTGCACAGTCTATTCCGACTCTTCGCAACCCCATGGACCACATCACGCCAGGCCCTCCTGTCTTTCGCCATCCTCCGGAGTTTGCTCAATTTCATGTTTGTTGCACTGTCTAACCATCTCATCCTTTGTCATCCCCTTCTTCTTTTACCTTCAATCATTCCCTGCATCAGGGTCTTCTCCACTGAGTGTTCCCTTTTCACAGACTAGTCATAGTTAAAGTAAACCATGGTTTTGTGCAAGTTCACAAAAGAGCCAGTTTGGTGTAGTGGTTAAGTGTGCAGACTCTAATCTGGGAGAACAGGGTTTGATTCCCCACTCCTCCACTTGCACCTGCTGATGTGACCTTGGGTCAGTCACAAGCTCTGGCACAGCTGTTCCTGAAAGAGCAGTTTGTGTCAGAATTCTCTCAGCCCCACCCACCTCACAGGGTGTCTGTTGTGGAGAGGGGAAGGGAAAGGAGTTTGTAAGCTGCTCTGAGACTCCAAGTGAAGGGCGGGGTATAAATCCAATCTCTTCTTCTTCTTCAATTGTCACACAAAACCATGGTTTACTTTAACTATGGCTAGATTGTGAAACCAGGATTCAGCTCACAGAGGACCACATATATTATGATGTGCTGCAACAAATGATATTTTTGTTGCCATCATATGGTTTTGCATGATGTCTGAAATGAGCCACAGGGTTTCAGGGGCAAGTTTGTTAGACTCAAGTGTAGAACCCTAGGGAGTTCACTGAAAGTGGCTCAGTACTGAGGGAACTGGTATCTGCAGCACAAAAGTAGTAGGTGTGGGCAAAGTTACATACCTCTTCTCATCTAAGTTACTTTGTATACATGAAGCAGTCCCCAGGCTTTTACTACACAGTTGTATGTGTAACCAAGTTGTGAATCCACCTCAATGAAGGTTAAGAAGATGAAAATATTACACTGAAGCAAAAAAAAAATTTAAAGGTCATTTTAAGTTGAGGGACAGATAACCAGCACCTTTATGGCTTCCTGGGTAACATTTGCAGCACATAGAGATGTGTTTCTTTGTGGCAGCAAACCACTGAAATAAGACTACCCACTCTGAAGATGGTCAGAAACCACAGAAGCAAAAGGAACAGCCACACTATGCTTACCTGTTTAGGTGGAGGCTGCACAACTAGGTAGCTCACTTGGTACAGCCACCGCATAGTATTTATTTACTTCACTAATTTATTTACTTCACTAATACCCTACCTTTCTCCCTAGTTGCGACACAAAGCAACTTAGTAGGCCCCTAAGCAGCTAGTACACTAGATGGCCCTGGGTCATCTCAATCCACTTTTTTAGACAAGACACTTACTAGAGTGACCATGAATGCAAAGAGCAATTTTCCCACCACTTAGAATCAGCAATTCAACTGACATGATAATAACGATAAACTCTCTCAAGTCTCAGAGATGCAACTAAATCTTTGGATGTCAACTGTCCTGCCTCATTCAATTGCCAACAGATCATTGGAGTTTTGTTGAACTGAGATTTCTATATGATTACAAATATATTTTGTTTGTTTGTTAGTGGTATTTCATATCTTACAAGAGCACCAGTTTAACTACACAAGAAAAACACAACAGCCAATTCCAGAGTTCTTATTCTTTAAAAGTTTTACACTTTCAGAGAGTTTGGATTCATTTTAGATGAGAAATGATATTTGGCACAGGCCGTTTAGTTTATGAAGAGACAGTTTTCATGTTTGTGTTTCATGCTGAGAACGCCCATTTTCATGCAAGAGAAAAAATATTAATATTTAAAGGAGACTGTTAACAAAATGCAGACAAAGAGAAAAGCAAAAAGACAAATTGGTAGTTAGAGATTGCCAGTCAAAGACACCTCATTGTTTAGTTGGCTTATTCATTTTGCAATAAATACTCTCCCTCATGTAAAACCATTGGCATCGATAAGAGCAATCAACCTGCAGTTTAGGATACTGGATTATTCACTCAGGTACGATCCACATGGAGAAGCCCATCAGCATGGAGGCCTGCGAGACAGAAATGCTCCACCAGGCCTATGGCTGGGGACAGCAACGGTCTACCATCAAGCCTGGACTCCATCTCTCACCCTGCCCCCCCCCCATGGGGAAGGTACAGACTGTCATCAGATGCCTTCAGACAAGTATATTGTTGTACTGTATTGTTTTTATTGAAACTGTTTAAACTGTTTATTTACTGATATATTGTATATGTTTATGCGCTGAATCAATCAATCAAAAGGTATTTGATTTGCATTTCACTTCAGTCCACAATGAAGTGAACATAAACTCTTTCACTGTGCACCAAATCACAGCTCACCTCATGTTTAGGGCACCCCCACAAAGTTTCCCAAAAAAGTCTGGCAATGCCACATCAGATTGTTGCAAATGTGATCTGGGCGCACAGTGAAGGATGAAGCAGCATTCATGCTTGAATGTGTGACAGGATTTTTCATCAGACAGCTTGCAAGTACAAAATGGCATCCTGGCTACATGGGGTTATAAAAACCTGCATGTTAATACACTCTTACTCCTAACAGAAAAATATGGCCCCATAAATCACCCAATGGGGGGAAAATAGACGATAAAAGCACTTTATGGGTTTACCATAAAGACAAGACATTCACAGTTAAGGTTGGCCTTTAGTATGTAGGCATGGCAGGGTGTTAAAAGAAAGTATTTAAGTGGACACCCTACTGTGCAACTGGATGCAATGCAACTCCAACTGAATTTCTTGGCTTTTAATAATTTCTAAACACATTTTGGTGGGCTGCTTTTCCCACCACTTTATTAAAATTCATACAGGTTCACCTCAAACTCAGTCTGTATGGGGGGGGGCACATTTCATTTGGTGCCCAAGAATGCAGATGGGACGCTCCTGAAGACTCATCCAAGTTTCGTGGAAGAAACTACTGAGGAGAGCTTTTTTTCCTCTTCGGTTGAGAAATTCACTGATTGCTAACTGCATCTCTTTGATTCCAATTGTTTGGCTGATAGATTAACTGCCATAAACTAGCTACATGGAGCCCCCGTCGATGGAAACACAAACTAATCACGGGACAGGTGATGTAGGATGCTAGCACACCCAGAAAGTATACATCTATTTAATGTGCAATTCAGAGGCCACTAGTACTGCCACATTTCAAATCACAGGGCTGCTTTATACATGTACTCATGCAACTTGATTTAATCACCACTTGCTGACTGGAGCCTGAAATTTCTCCAACGTAAAATGTTGAGTTGTTTTAAGGCAATATAAATGTTCACCTCATGGTATTAGGTCTGAACATATACATGCAAGTTATCACTTAATGCTATAGTCAAGGAATAATGAATATACATGTATACACATCCCCCCAAAAAAATCACAGAATGGAGGGAAGCAAAAAAAAGCCACGATGTCTAGTTCCCCCCATGATAGGCATGCACCAATATAACACAGATAAAGGCAGATCAGCCATACTGCAGAACGAGCAGTTCTGCAGGACTGAAGCAAGCAAACTAGTATAACCACAACCTTGCAGTGACCTAGCTTTTAGTGCTTATATAAGAACAGACGACTTTTAGGAGACCTGCTAAACAGAAATATAACATACCATCATAGTAGACAATGGCACCTACAAGTTTGTCCTTCCGCAACATAGGAAAGAGTTCCAAGGCCTTTGATTTGCTAAGCACATAGCTGCTTTTTAGACACTGGCTTCCTGCTACGAGGTCATAGAGTTTAATTCCTACCCAATAGTATGGCAGCTGCCACCATCTACGAGAGAAAAGAGAAGAAGAAAAAAAGAGAGATGTTGTACCTGCATGGAACAATACTCAACATAATCTCATTATAAGTAGCACATATTGTGAGAATGGCATGAGCACTGCAATCTTTTTTTAGAAGGATTGTGAAAATGGCAACCCCAGTTTTGGAATATCTGAAGAGCTGGAAGAGGTTTAGATGTATGGGAGGACTTCAGTTCTCAACTGTTCTTTTCCATAAAACTCAGTGTGTGACATTAGAAAAACTGTGTTTCGGCCTTACCTATTAGAGCTGTTCTAGAGTGGCAGAATGAGATACAAAAACATAGCAGCAAATGCATATTTACTGATAAGAGCTTGTGAGCCAACAAGTCCACAGTTCAAACTTAACTGCCATCACGAATTTACTAGGTGGTCTTCCTTATACAACCAAGGGAGATGGCACAGCAGGAGGTGGCAATGTGCCTCAGTGGTTCAGCACATGCTGTGAATGTGGAAATTCCCAGGTTCATTCTCTGGCATCTCCAGTTAAAAGATCTCAAGTAGCAGATACTGAGAAATGGCCTTTTTTTACAGAGATTCTGGGATAACCATCTGCCTTTCAGTGTGGACAACACTATGCTACACAGACCAATTTCTAACTTGCAAAAGGCAATTCTACAGCAGTATTTTCTGCTTAGACAATATATTTTTTTACTATCAAACCACTTTTTTTTTTACTATCAAACCCTGACCCCCTACCATAATTTAGGTACTGATCCAGCTAACACGTTAGAAATCAGAGAGGCTAAAATCCGCACAAGGCCAGAAAGGATGCTCAGAAGTACGTTGGAATTTCATCTGAGCATTTCCGGGGACGGTGGGGACGACATTTCATATTTCTAGCTACTCAAACACAACATATTGTCTTACACACCGATTTCAAACAGGGTTTAGATGTGCGGAAGCATAAAGAGAAAAAGCAGGAAATAAACAAAATACCTATGGTCAAAATAAGCAGCTATAGTCTCCATTTGATCATTTGGCATTGTTTAAGCACGAGTTTTATGGGGGGGGGGTTACTTTTAAACCTTTTATCAAAATTAAATTGGAGCTCTATACTCATACGTTCACTGTAAGTCATCACATACAAAGCTCTTAGTGGCCTTGAACCCTCACATATGCAGGACCACCTCTCTTCCTATGGCCTGCCATGACAACTTTCCTCATCTGAATAGGGCCTTCTACAGGTGTCACCTTTAATACTTATGGCCTTGTCCTATTACACTATTACAGGAGTCCCCACCGTGGTGTACACTGGCATCACGGTGCCCACCAACGCCTTTCTTGGAGCTCACTAAGCGTTTCTAGAAGGGGGTGGGGCCAGGTAGGGCTGCTGCCCAGCAGAGCTTCTGATTGACCCCTGGAGATCTGACCAGCTGGGCAGATTAACACTGTTTCAGCAGAAGGGCCACCACAGTGCTGGCTTCAGCCTGTTAACCTACAGATCAATCTTCTAAGTGTAGTAAGACTATATACCAATACTATATGCCTGTTCTAGTTTTCTGTATAAAGCAGAAGATGTGTTTATGTTCTTCCCCCTTCTAGCATTCAGACATCACCTCTGCAATAAATACTTATGGGACAACAAATTAACATGTAATTAATGTAACAGGGCATCCAAAAAGCAACAGTTCAGGATTTGTTAGTGAAAATCAACATTCCACCCAGTACAATTTCAATTCATTTTGCTACTGTTCTTGGGTCCCACTGTGATGAAGGGAGAAAGAAAGGCTATAAATACTTAATAAATAGGTAAAAACTGAATTGGTGATGCAACCTATAACACAGGCAGCACTCTATGGTAAACTTCCAAAATGCAGCAGTTCAGTTCTCACCTCCACAAAGACAAAGCCCATGACAAGCTTAAAATCATAAGGCAAAGGGTTACTAAATATATCTCCAACTAGCATCACAGTAGTGCTATAGGTAGGTAACGCAGAACAAATTTGGGATGACCTACCTGTAAACAGGAAGCATTATAGGGAGAGGAGCAGATAAATTAGGGGCAATCTCCAGCAAATTGGCACGTTCATGGAGGGCTTCTTTCACCATTCTGTACTGAAAAATATAGAACTTACTGAACCAGTTCTTAATGATGGTTTCAATAAACCAATGTTATGCTATTTGAAATGACCAGGGCAGATATCTGCTCCATTCACTCTCTCAGCAGAGATCATTAGTCAGCATGACCAAGGCTATTTCCATCCCAAACCCAAGCCTGTGAACTGAAATGGGTTTAGCAAGCACTCTCCAAGCATTTCAGTTCAGTTGAGCTAGCAATGACAACTTTCACACAGCAACTCAGGAAAAACTGCCCAAGCTGCCAGTTCTGCGATACAGCAACAGTCAATGCACAGGAAATGTTCCTTGAAGTGGAAGGTACCTTTTATCCAAGGACACATGCCCCAAAGTTAATAGCTATGGTCAATCATAAGGATGGGTGTAGGTTCTGCATAGGATACAGCCCACACAACATACAGGCTGCACAGATCAGATGTGCTGCAATATAACTGGGTTCTCATTCCCAGTAAAGGAGCCATGCCTATTTCCCTATTGACTGAGGTCTGAAGCAACCTAGAAACATGCAGTTAAAAAAACAAACACCTGAATCATATATAATAAGCACACTTTCTGATGCATTCCATTCCCTTGGGGATACACTACTTTTACGGATTCCTCAAGAACTGAGCATATTCAGTGAGAGTGAAAAGTGATCTACACTTTTAGAACATTTATATCTGACAGCCTTCCTAGGACAATTCAATTACTATGCTGGTAGGGGATGACATCACCTAACAAAACCTAGCCTATTATGTGTGGAAGCCTTGACTACTGACTAAGAGAAGAATACTACCACTACCATCAGGCCCAGGTGCTTCTTTTATGTACATTGACTCAGGAATGTGCTTTTGTAAGCTGCCTTGGGGTCCCTCTATTTGGGGAAAGATGGCCTAGTCATGTTTTTATTAATTAAATTAAGCATCTTCAGATTACAATTACAAGGCATCATGACCAAAGATCATCCCCCCATGTTTTTTTAAATTATATTTTGGTTTCCAGATATTTTTGGAAAATGCATGATTTAAATTCAGCACCATTTAAACATTATCAACAGATGTCATTTCTTTCTGAGCTCAGTGAGAGAACTATTCTCTATGCACAGTTGGTGGCAAGCAACAAAAGAATGCACTGAAAACCACAAATATATTAAAACCATAAATGTGAATATAAATTTAATTAGAATCAGAAGGGGAGGGGTTCAGTTAGACACTCTAGCTTTATAGCTACCATCATAAAACAATTACCTGTTCAAAATCCAACCTCATGATGGCCTTCTGAAGATATCTCACTCCGCCATGGATCAATTTAGTGCTTCTGCTGCTGGTCCCTGATGAGAAATCATCTCTTTCTACAAGGGCTGTTTTTAGGCCTGCGTAACCAGAAAACCAAATTAACTTCTTAAATTACACAATTTGTATGTAATTCATTAAAGACACTTCTCTAGGGTAGAGACAGTCACAAGAAAAATTGCTCTGAACATGGAGGAATTTGTATTCAGAGTGCATGGCGCTATCTCTTTGGCAACGAAGAGCAGCAGCTTCTTCGGGGAAATCCTGTTCATTATTTGAAAAATTGGAATACATGAAAATAACCACAGCCAAAGTACTATATAGTAGACATAATGTATGAAAGCAGCTAGGATTCTGTAAACAAAATACAGTCTACTTCTCTTCTTGAACTATCCCCTCTAATAGCAAACTTCATAGTCATACGCCCATTTAACTGCAAGGGGAAAAAATCAAGAGTTTTGGAATATTACCTATCCCACGTATGCAGACAAATATCTGTTTGCAAATTTGTTAAAATGAACAACCATGAAGACAAGCCTGATGAGGAATGAGCCTGCTCATTGTTTCTGGAACACTGAGAGGCATCTCAAGAAAACAAACTCAAGTGGACACTGACTCAAGCCTCTAAGAGTTTATTGTGTTTCGCAGGAGATTTCTCAATATAATTTATCTATTTCTGCCTGTGATTCCTCATGGGACCCCAGCTTATCACACTTCTTTGCAAAGCTCTTCACAATCTCTGCAAATAATCCAACTGATCACCTCAACTATGCAAGTTTACATTGGACAAAACAATTTCCTGATTTTTCAGTATTTTATCTTGATTTGCAATAATGGTTTGTGGAAACAGAAGAAATCACAGTTTGATTTAGATGTCATGACAAACTTTTCTTTGCTGGACAGGGACCCTAAATTATTCAACTTTTTGAGACTGGGATCTGTATATGCTCTCTCAAATTATTTATCCAGCTCATGAGTTTGCATCAGTTTCGAGTTTCAAGAAGTGGTTTGAAGCCATGATTATGAATTATTCTGAGGAAAAACAAAGGGCAAAACTCAAATACTTGTAAAGCTAAATTAAACTGAGCTATTCTCTTACACTGATTAAATTGTACCTAGCTGAAGCAATGGAAGGCATGTACTACTACCCAAAATAATCCAATTAAGGCATAGTGCCTTTTGAAGAAATTCAACATGATTGACTTTTTAACATTAAAATACATACATATCAAAAATATCATGTTGTCAACAGAGTAAGTTTAACAGGTAGTATATAAAACATTAACAATTATAAAATGTATTACAGCAATAATATATATGCACATCCAGGTTCACCAATTCAGAGAGAACTTCATTTCAATTGTGTAGTGATTATTATAATTTAGTGTGGTGATTGTTATAATTTACAGACACTTCCTTATAAGGAACAAAGAGAATGGAAGCTTACTGAAGATCCCTGCTGGCTAGAAGGAGGAGCTGCAGGCAGTAAGACTTAGCATTCAGGGAAGCTAGGAGAACACTGCACTTGTTTGGTAATAAGCTATTACATTTAGTCGTGCTTTGGTGTGTTCCTCATGTGGTCAAGAATGCCAGGTCCTGCCCCCCTTTGGCCATTCCTGCCGCCGCTCAGCTGGATGGGAGAAAAATAATGGGGACTGAATGGGGGCATTGCCAACATCAGTGATGTGATGACATCACTTCCAGCATGACCAAAAGTGCTGTCATCACACTGCCAGCAATTTGGCTAGAACTTTATGGTTAAACCATAAAGGTTTTGGCCAAATGCCAGAGAGTCAGCGTGACATCAGTACTTCACCAGCAAGGAGGGGACCCATAACTGTGAGCAGGGGTCATTTGGGGCTGGAGCATACCGGAGCACTGCTCCAACAGCCCAGGAGTGGGCGCCAATTGGTGGTGGCAACAAGCCCCGCCCCAGCTCCCCACGCCAAAGCACTGCAGCCCAGGTGAGGCCTGAAGAGGCCCGCCGCTGGCTTCCCCGGGCCCGCGCAGAAGCGCTGCCGCTCGGGGGAGGCCTGGAGAGCCCCGCAGCTGGCTTTCCCAGGCCCACACAGAAGCGCGGGGGCCTGGAGATCCCCGTAGCCAGCTTCCCCGGGCCCGCGCAGAAGCGCTGTGGCCCAGGGGAGGCCTGGAGAACCCTGCTGCCAGCTTCCCCGGCCCACACCGAAGCAGTAAGGGATCCGCGGGGGTGAGGGTGGCAGGGGCTTGATTGGGGGTGGGAGAGCCTCCCTCCCTCCCCCCTACGTCTTTGCCATCTTTCCCTCCTTTTCTTTCTCTCTTTTCCTTCTCTTTCTTCCTTCCTTCTCTCTTTCTTTCATTCCCTCCTTTTCCTCTTTTCCTCCTTCTTCCCTTCTCTCTTTCTTTCTTTCCCTCCTTCTTTTCTTCTCTTTTCCTCCTTTCCCTCCTTCCCTTCTCTGTCTTTTTTCCCTTCTTCCCTTCCCTTCCCTTCTTTTTATCCCATCTTTCCTTCCTTCTTTTCTTCCTTCTTCCCTTCTCTTTCTTTCCCTCTTTCCTTCTCTCTGCTCTCTCTCTTTCCTTCCCTCTTTCTTCCTTCTGTGACCCAACTCTTTCTTCGCTTCCCCCCCCCACAAGCCAGCTGGGGAGGGGAAGGGGAGGCTACTTGTGACTGAGCCCCTAACTTATCACATGGAGTCAGAAGTGAGATGTCAAACAGACATTTGAAGCAGAAACAGAAGCAACAGAATACTGTGGACAAAAAGAGTTCTACCTAAGGATCTGAGGCCTGGTTGCAAATCAGCAGCAGAAAGGTAATTGTGGAGTTTATGCAACTGCCATTCAACCTGCAAATATGGATCTCTAATTTGCACTGCTTCATTCTTTCTTCTGAATTAGATTATGGATGAAAAGTTATCTTTCCAACCTCCTAGTCGCTGCCTGTACACATCAAATGAAGGCTGAACTCTAAAGAGGTTTGTGCTGGAAGCCACTACTTATATAAGAAAACTAACCATCAACACATACACTTCCTCTGAAAGGATTTCCAACAAATGCTGCAAGATACCTTTACCTAACAATGTATGATTTCATCATTCAGTACTGCTCTAGAAAGAAGACACAGATGTTAATTCACAGTCTCAGCTTCTAAGGGTTAGTATGACTAAAGGTAAAGGTTTCCCTTGTTCGATAGCCGGTTGAATCTGACTCTAGGGGGCGGTGCTCATCTCTGTTACTGCTGTTAAAATACGAGTGGTCAATAAAATGGCTTGAGAGAGGTCTTATATGTCAACAGCTATGGCAGACAGTAATTCTGAATACTCATACCAAGCAGTCCCCTGTCCAGCCCACACTCTACTTCCCAATCCACAGGGCTTTTAAAGCAGCTGTCTTTGCATCTTTAGCTGATTGGAAGACTTAGACGACTCAGTACATCCAGTGCTATAATCAAGAATTTTGTTGAAGATCAACAACAACTCTGGAATCAGAACAGACTCCAGGCTTATATGAAAAGACTCATATGACGTTCCTGCTTACACCAGCACACCTGTATTTTGGTGACTCTTCTGCTGTTACTGGGCCAAACAGCTGTCAATTAACATAACCAACTAATAAAACTAGCTAGGCTAGAAAACATATGATAAACAGCAAAAAAACACCCCTCTATTCTGTTTAATAACACAGCTCTGACAGAATCTCAGAACTAGATAAATATAGCAGAAAGTTATTCCTCCCCATCCCTATAGTGATCAATTTAACCTATAAAAAGCTAAGGGACTTTAGTTATCCCATGGGCCAACAATCTCCAGTGTGGTACCCATGGGAACCATAGCATCCTCTGAGGGTGTTTCCTGATGCTCACTTCCTTCTCCAAAACACAGCACTAGTTTTTGGCTTTCAGCTACCTTACTGACACAGGAGTTGCTTCAGAAGAGTCTTGGAGGCTTTGTCGTTACATCTGCAGGGAACATTCATTTGGAAACAGCATCCTACATCATATGGAATTTTCAAGCATGGTCCTCCAATACTTTGACACTGACCCTCTCCCCATCTTGGCAGCCATTTTATGGTAGTGCCCACTAACTATTCCCAAAGCCAAAAAATGCCACAGGCTGACCAAGGTTGGGGATCCCTGCTGAATCTTCAACACATAACACCAAAAGCTCCAATATAGTACAGGACTGGTTAAAAGTGAAATGTCTATATTCAGAGGCAGTGTCCAATGTTTTACTTTACCAGCCCTTGGGGACAAACAGCAGAAGGTGACTATTGCTTTCATGCCCTTCTTTGAGAGATTTCCAGAGACATGTTGGACTAGTTAGCCCAGACAAAGATCTAATAAGGCAATTTTAATGTTCACAAGCAGTTTTTAGCTGCCAACACATTGGGTACATTTTGCACATTCAATAGCTTTGCCTTAAATAAAAAAACCTGCAGAAGGGATGCGCACATAACTACGGTAACAATTCACACCAAAACTGTTCATTAGCTGAAGTTTTCTGAAACCCTTTTAAAAGAAACTAGGCAAACCTTTAGTAAATGTAGTGTGAAATAACTGAATTATGAGGAGGAGATGATCAGCTACAGGCACACAAAAACAAAGCATTACTTGCCTGTTTCACAAAATGTAATAATTTATAAAATATATCCAATTAAAGTAAGTACTAGAAGTCTGGAAATATCTGTTAGTTAGAGGGAGGTAAATCATAGTTACACAGTAACCTCTAAAGTTATACAACAATCTTTAATAAAATAATAACCCTCTTTAAGTGTTGCAACTATTAACAGTCAGTTCTCTCCATGAGGCAATTTCTCAAAAGAAGGAACACAAGTAGGAAGAACAGGAAGGAACGAACAAAAACAGGTACAACAAGATTCTTACAGAGTCTGTTGAGGAGAGCAACATGACTGTGCATATCTGAGGAGGAAATGCAGACAATCAACACTCTTCTCAGTCCTCCAGCCTGCATTACCTTAAGGATTTTGCAGTACTTTAGAATAGAACAACCACATTCGCCTCTCTTGGGCGCCCTAAACTTTTGTGTCCTCAAAAATCTAATTACTCCTGGTAACTTTAGAAGATCAGAGCAATTTATTTTTGTCAAAT